CATGCACTGTAGCACTGGTGCCACTGTGCTTCTGGGGAGAAGGACCAGAGCCAGGGACCTGCAGGCCTAAAAGTCAGGTCAGTGCTGGGCAGGAACTCCAGAGTGGCTGGTGCTGTCCCTGGAGTGTGGTCTAGAAGGGATGTGAAGTCCATGCAGGCTCCTCTGTCCCTTTGCCCCTGTGTGGAGAGGGCAACCCCAGGAGGGCTGGCGTGGAGGCCTTTTAAAGGCCAGGACCTGGAGAGAAACTCTCTTCCCTGGGTCTAAGGATGGCTCTGGCCAGGCGTGGTGGCTCATACCTGTAATCTTTACACTTTGATAGGCCAAGGTGGGGATCACTTGAAACCAGGAGTTCCAGACCAACCTGGGCAACATGGCAAGACCTCATCTCTACAAAAAAAAAATTAGCTGGGAGTGGTGGCACCTGTGGTCAGCTCCTCAGGAGGCTGAGGTGGGCGGGAATCCCTTGAGCCCAGGAGGTCGAGGCTACAGTGAGCTGTGATTTTGCCACTGTGCTCCAGTTTTGGCGGCAGAGCGAGATCCTGTCTCTAAGAAAAAAAAAAAGAAAAGGATGGCTTTGCCTCTGGGCTGAGAGATGGCTCACGCCCAAGGTACCTCTAGCATTCTGCATTGCCTTTCTTCCAAGTCTGCCATCTGGGAAGAACCTCCCATTGTGTGATTTCCTTTTCTGCTGCTGCAAAGCCCGGGGAAGAGGCTACTGGGTGATGAAAAGGTATCATGATCAGCCTGAAGGTTGGCAACCCAGCTGTTCACCCTGGGCTCCCCTTTATATAAGTGGTCATGTCTTAGGCTACCTGAGGCTGAAGAGGTGGGAAGAAGGGGGGTGTGTGTGTATGTGTGTGTGTGTGTGTGTGTGTGTGTGTTGGAGAGAGAAAGCTGGTGTTTGTGTATCTGAATCTGCATCCGCAAATGTATATCCCTGAGGTGTGAGCATAGAAGGTTGTGTGTGTGTGTATGTGGCTTGTGTAGATCTAAATCTCTGCTTATCTCTGGGGAAAGGGCCCCCACAGACTAAAGACTATGTTTGAATGGAGAACAGAAACTCCCATCTCCTTGTATGGCCCAGAGGCCTTCTGGAAGATGATGGGCTTGTGAGATAAGCAGAGGACGATGGCCTGGTGGTCCTGGACACTGGCTGACGGTGTGCGCCCTCCCCAAGAAATGAGCCTCCCTTCCACAGCCCCTCACTGAACCCCTCTGCGCCAGTTACTTCTGTCTCTGCAGCAGCTTGGGATGGGCCATGTGGTACCCTTACATTCTCTACTCTGAATCACTAGCAAGCTGCAAGGTTGAGTTAACCATATGTGTTTTTGGCAGCGCACGGACTCTGCTTCCGCTGAGCTCTGGGCAAGAGGAAGGAGTTGAAACTGCAGGAATAGGAATCGAGTCTGGACATTAGAACAAAGAGACAGGGGCATTCACCATAAGGGAGGCCGCAGGCTCTTCTTTCCCGGACCTTTGTCATACAGAGAATTCTTTTTTTTTTTTTTTGAGACGGAGTTTCGCTCTTGTTACCCAGGCTGGAGTGCAATGGCGCGATCTCGGCTCACCGCAACCTCCGCCTCCTGGGTTCAGGCAATTCTCCTGCCTCAGCCTCCTGAGTAGCTGGGATTACAGGCACGCACCACCATGCCCAGCTAATTTTTTGTATTTTTAGTAGAGACAGGGTTTCACCATGTTGACCAGGGTGGTCTCGATCTCTTGACCTCGTGATCCACCCACCTCGGCCTCCCAAAGTGCTGGGATTACAGGCTTGAGCCACCGTGCCCCGCCCATACAGAGAATTCTTACCTTTAAAGGTTTGCAGGCAGGGGACTGGATAAGACGAGCTTGGGGCCTTTTCTTCAAGTTCAAGCTACAGGGGAGACTGTGGTCAGAGCAACCCCCAATCCTATCCCTACATACCTCCCCCTCCTAAGAGACCAAAGTCCCTATGTAGACAGCTGATGCTAGGAAACATGATTTCTGATTTTTTTTCTGTATTCTCAGATACAGATGAATCCTCAGTGCCTGCCAGGCACGTAGTAGGTGCTTAATAAATATGAAGAGACTCACTTGATCTGGGAGGAGGGACTCAGTTCTAATCCCAGTCTTTGCTGCTGCTGTGGTGGCGCCTCCGCCAGTCCTAACCTGTGTGTTTAGCTCTGGGGCTGGTGTGTTGCAACATGTTCTGGACACACACACACACACACATACACACACAGCGCAGGCTTTATTCTGAAGCGTTACTTCTGCTCCTCCACCCACATGGGCTACTCCACCCCTCTCTGCAGTCAACCAGCCCTACCCTGCCTGTTTGCTGAGGTCAGGAGAAATGGGAAGGAGTTAGGCCAGGCTTGGGGCTGGGAAGTATGTTCGTGTGCCTGTGTGGAGATGGGAAGGTGGGAGATGGGCAGGAGGGGGAAGAAATGAAACCCTGGCAGCTTCAGCAGTCCAGGATTGTGAGCCCTTTCTCTCCCCAGCTGTGGCCTGGCCACAGCTCTATGTGACAGGGTGACAAGCAGGTGGATGGGGCAGGGGTAAGGCAGGGATAAAGACAGGGAGGTAAGCTAGAGGAGGGGAAGTTGGGGAAACAAGCAAAGGGCAGTGGCCCCAGGTATGGGATGGTCACATATCTCCAGGGATGTCCATATCTCCCTGGCCCTGCTCTTGGATGGTACAACTTCAGAAGGGAGAATATTCAGCTGCCAGTCCTTTCTCTGGGGGGAAAATGGTCAAGGATGCTGCTAAGGTACCTTCATCCAGCCCATCCTGTGTGCTACCTTTGAGGCTGTAGAGCTTTGTTGATTGGGGACCCTTTTCTTTTTTTTTTTTTTTTTTTTTTTGAGACGGAGTTTCGCTCTTGTTACCCAGGCTGGAGTGCAATGGCACGATCTCGGCTCACCACAACCTCCGCCTCCTGGGTTCAGGCAATTCTCCTTCCTCAGCCTCCTGAGTAGCTGGGATTACAGGCACGCACCACCATGCCCAGCTAATTTTTTGTATTTTTAGTAGAGACGGGGTTTCACCATGTTGACCAGGATGGTCTCGATCTCTTGACCTCGTGATCCACCCGCCTCGGCCTCCCAAAGTGCTGGGATTACAGGCTTGAGCCACCGCGCCCGGCCGATTGGGGACCCTTTTCTAAACCACCATTCCCCCAGCACCCACACACAGGTTGCTTCTGCGTATCATTCTATGAGCTCAGTGAAGGTTGGGATCATTTTTATTTTCTGTGTCACCAGGTTTTACTTTCTGTGTTCACCAGTGCCTAACATACAGTTGACACTCAATACTCAAGTGCTGAATGAAGGAATGTTTGTAGGGCCCTTGACACACCATACAGCCACCAGCAGCGTGAGCAGGATTCACATCAACTACAGAAAGGAAGTGTCCTTGTCTTCTTAAGCTGCCTGTGAGAAGTTCTTATTTTTTTGAGACAGAGTCTCACTCTGTTACCAGGCTGGAGTGGAATGGCACGGTCTCGGCTCACTGCGACCTCTGCCTCCTGGGTTCAAGCGATGCTCCTGCCTCAGCCTCCTATGTAGCTGGGATTATAGGTGCCCACTGCCACATCCGGCTAATTTTTGTATTTTTAGTAGAGACAGGGTTTCACCATGTTGGCCAGGCTGGTCTTAAACTCCTGACCTCAGGTGATCCGCCTGCATCGGCCTCCCAAAGTGCTGGAATTACAGGTGCCCACCACCATCCTGGCTAATTTTGGTATTTTTCGTAGAGACAGGGTTTCACCACATTGCCCAGGCTGGTCTCGAACTCCTGACCTCAAGTGATCTGCCCACCTTGACCTCCCAAAGTGCTAGGATTACAGGCATGAACCACCATGCCTGGCAGAGAAATACTTTCTGATCTCTGCCCCAGGCTCTCCCACCGTGGAGGGATATGCTGCCCAGTTTCTTTTTTTCTTTTTCTTTTTCTTTTTTTTTGTTTGAGATGGAGTCTCACTCTGTCATGCCTAGGCTGAAGTGCAGTGGCAAGATCTTGGCTCACTGCAACCTTCGTCTCCCAAGTTCAAGCAATTCTCCTGCCTCAGCCTCCCAGGCAACTGGGATTACAGGTGCCTGCCACCATGCCTGCCTAACTTTTTGTATTTTTAGTAGAGATAGGGTTTCACCATATTGGCCAGGCTGGTCTCAAACTCTCGACCTCGGGTGATCCACCTGCCTTGGCTTCCCAATGTGCTGGGATTACAGGCGTGAGCCAACGAACCAACGCACCCCACCTGCCCCGTTTCTTTCATGTTAGGGCTGGATTTCCTTCAGATCTGTGGCTTGATGTTTCCAAGCCCACCAAAGCCTCCTGACGCCAATACTGTATTTTTGGGTCAAGTAATTGTTCTGTCTCGCCTCCAATTGTTCTATTTTGCCTCTATCTTGTGCCTTTTCTCTGCCCCTTCCCCACTGCCTTGACATTTTATGTCTATGCTCTTCTTCCATGAGGGGAACAGCTGGTTTGGTGGTCCTTCAAATGAGAGAAAGATGGTTCTAGCTTGGAGTGTGTCACTCTGTAGTTTGTGATTTCTCTGAACCTCGGTTTCGTCATCTTTACGATGAGGATCGTTTTCTCGTCCTATTTTTCAGAGCTGTCACGAGAATTAAAACAAAAACAAAAAACCCATACCATTAATTTAAATTCTAATCTTTATCAGTTTCTGAGTGCTTCCACAAACCTGACTTCATTTAATCCCCACATACTCCAGTGAGGTAGATATGGTTAATGTACCCAGTTTACAGATGAGGAGAAACAGGGGGAAGGATGAAGTAACTTGCCTAAGGTCATAGTAAGTGGCAGAACACAAACCCTGGCCTTCTAATTCTAAATCCCAGGAGTACTCCATCTTTGGGGAAAAAAATCCCAACCCAGCACAAAGCCTATGAAATGCCATACAAATATGTTATTACCACTTTGGGGCAAGGATGAATAAGCCCAAAGAAGCATCATGCCTGACGCTGAGTTGGCTGGCTGGTGAAGGCGTCTGTCCCTTCCCTTGGTATCCCCTGACTTACCTGTTGGACAGGTAGGGGGAAGGGGAGAGTAATGAGTCTCACCTGCTCAGAGCAAGGGTGGGGCAAGACACACCCCATCCCTTCTATTGGTTTTCTTCCTTAGTCTTACTGACAGTCCCTTGTCCAATCAGGAGGAAGTAACTTTCTATCTGCCAATAGGTGAAGTGTTAGGATGAGACCTCAAGTTAGAGTCCATCCCTAGAGCCGACTGGCAGTCCCTGGGGCCAATGGCAAGCGGATAAACAGAGGCGGCCGTGGAGGAGGACTGGACGCGAGGCTCCGCCCCTTGACGGGACAGTCAGGCGAGACAGCCAGTGAGCTCGCACCAGCGGGTGGGCGTCTCCCCCAGGGGCGGAGTTTCGAGGTGGCGAGGGGCGTGGCTTGGCTGTCAGGTCTCTTCGCCTTTTGTTCGGTTATTGAGTTGCTGCCTTGGCCAGAGTCCGGAGCAGCCGCCGCCCGAGCGCGCCGAGCTCAGTTCGCTGTCCACGCCGGCTCCCACCCCGGCTCGACCTCTACCCGGCCCGGCCAGGCCCCAAACTCAGGTGCGGGCGATCGAGGGCAGGTATCGATGGGGAGAGAAGGGGTGGCGAGCGACCGCGGGGCCGGTCCCAGCCGTCTCTGGGCAGGTGAGGGCGGGTGCCATGGAGCACCACCCTGCACCGGCGGCAGGGGGCGCGCTGGGGTCCTGGGCGCTGCAGCTAGTGGGGCGCGCGGTTCGGGCCGGGCGCGCTTAGGAGCTTCGCGAGCCGGAGATCTGAGCAGGGCGGGAGGGCTCCGGGCAGGTGCCTCCGGGGTCGCTCCTCTCCCGGGGCCCGCGCAGCTTGCCCGACGCCGCGTCCCTGGCTCTCGTCCTGAGCTGGAGGGGGAGACTTTGCCCTGCTTTGACTGCGTCCCAGGGCTCTCGCTGCAGTCAGGAATTTACCGTTTGGGAAACTTGCTGCCGCTGGTCTCTTTGGGGCCACCCACATCCCACCCCACGCGTCATCCTTGCTTTCCCTCCCTTTCTACTCCCCCAGGCCTGGGTGGGGCCCTATTGTCTGCGCCCAGCTTGCCCAACTGTGGGGGCCGAGCGCACATTTTCCCAGTGACGCTGGCCCCACCTGCAGAGCAGGTGAGCGCACGGAGTCCAGAGGCCCAGCCCTCCAGCTCCCGGAGCCTCGTCGATACTACCTGCGGCGCCTCCCTCCGCTCCGGTGGGTGCCCGGCTCTGGCTTCTCCAGCGGAGGTGGGATGGAGTGACAGTGGGGGCTGGTGCAGGGCTCGGCCCAGTGTCCAGCTGGTGTTTGGCACCCGTGGCTCGGCCTAGGGGGAGGGGTCTGTGCACGGGTGAAGCATTGAGGGTCACCTGGCTCAGTTTCCAGTAGCTGTGGCTGCCAGAGTGTTGGTAGGGGAACAGGAATGGTCTTCTTCTCTAACCTCTTATTGTTGGAAAAATCACCCAAAACAAACTTTGCAGGAGGAAGTATTCACAGCAGCGTTCTCTGGGGGTTTTCCCGTCTCCTTGCCCAGAACTTCCTTAAGGCTTAGGAGGTCCTTCTTGGTGCAAAGTCCCCTCCCCCAGCCGGCCCCCGACTGAACCTGGGCCTTTGCCTGCGCTCTGACCCAGGCTTCCCTGCCCCCACATTCATCCTGTTAGCTGCGCCCCAGGGGCCTGAGGTGGGGGCCGGGGTGGGGTGGGTGGAAAGGGCCGAGAGGGGAAGCAGCTTCTTCCTTCTCTTCCTGCCTCCGGGGACCACCACACCCCCTCAGACAAGGCCTGCGTTAAGTGGCTCTCTCTCAAGCTCTGCCCCCTCCCCAGGAATGGGGGTGGGGCAGGGCTGGGCCCAGCTAGGAAGGTGGGGGGAATGGATGTTCTTGTCTTTTTTTTTTCTCTACCCCATCCCCCACATTACTTAGCTGGCTGGTAATTGAGGCAGAAGAGCATGAGGCTGTGGGCCTTGCCTTCCATTTGGTTTCTGAATTATGAAGGTGCATGCTTTCTGGAGGCCTGTGCAGACCTTTCCCACCCCCTTTCCTGAAAGAATTTGATGGGGAAAGTGAGACTGGAGGAAGGCTTTTGGGGGGAAGGTTTCTTCAATGCTAGACTCCCTCAGGCAGAGATGCATGCCCCCCCCCGCCACCCCCGCCACCTTCCCTACTCCCAATTTCCTGAGACCCCTCCCCTCCAGAATTGGGGGTCTTCACCAGGCTTTCAACCCTGGTTAAAAAAAAGTCCTAAGTGCGGTCGTTTTGCAGGATTTGGAGCCCAGCCTTGGGAACAGAGAGGAAATACAGGAGTTGGGTTCTCTCTCAGTCCTGGGGGTGGGAGAAAGATTTCGGAGCTGGGGATCCAGAGTGCTTGGAGGGGAAAAGCCTGCCACCTCTTTCTTTGCTGTAGATGGGGGAGTGAGGCTGGGGGGCCAGACTCAGCCCCTTTGTCCTGGGTGGGGAATCATGCACAGCCCTGGGCCAGGGGGAAGCCAGTGTGGAAACTCAGATCCTTTTCTGCTTGGGAAGGGGGTGCTGTCCATCTCTGGGGAGCAACAGGGCACGGAGTTTGGGCAAAAATAACCTGCTTTCCCTCTTCTCTGTGCCAAGGTGGAGGATGGGAGGGCATTGTAATTGTGTTGGCTAAATGATTAGTTTAGCTAATCTGGTTTGTGGCTGTGATGAAAAGATACTACTGAGGAAGTACTGTTAGGAGGTGCCTGGTGAAAACTGGCCACTGACTGGACTGGGGGCGCGGGGGAGGAGGAGAAGGTAGGATCCAATTAGTCATTTCTTGCTAGATCAAGCCCCAGCTTGGGTGACTTGAGCCCTCCCGCCCCCACTCCACCCCTCCCCTGCACCCTGGCTCCACCCCATTCCCTCTGGAACTTCTGTTTGGAATGCCAGGGCCGAGGCTTTGAGAACTCAGTGCATAGGAACGAAAAAGGACAGGCTAGGGCTGCCAGCCTTTTTCCCGCCCTGGAGCCACCTTAGGATGAGATCGGTCCATTGACTAGTCTACAGAAGGACTGTTTATTTGGAGAGATGGGATGGTGGGGCAGTTCTGAGCACAGGGCTTTGGGCTTGAACTGAGCTGGGTTTGAGACCCACCTCTGTCTCTCATTACATTACCTGAGCCTCAGTGACCTCTTTGTCAAAATGGGAATACTAATACCTATCTGCCCAGTAAGTACTTGACAAATGATAACTCAAGATCAAGGTAAGACTTTACAGAAACCCAGCACTTTCATTAGCTAGTCTCACTTCAAACTTAAGGCTGCCCAGGCTCGATGGCTCAAACCTGTAATCCCAGCACTTTAGGAGGCCTAGAGGGGCAGGTCGCTTGAGCCCAGGAGTGCCAGACCAGCCTGAGCAACATGGCAAAACCCCATCTTTACAAAAAATAGAAAAATTAACCGGGCATGGTAGTGCACGTCTGTGGTCCCGGCTACTGGGAAGTCTGAGGTGGGAGGATTAGCTGAGTCCAGGGAGGTCAAGGCTGCGGTGAGCTGTCACCGTACTCCAGCCTGGGCTACAGAGTGAGCCTCTGTCTCAGAAAAAAAGAAGCGAATATCATTATCCCCATTCTACAGATGAGGAAATTGAAACTCAGGGAACATAAGTAATTTGCCCAAGGTCGTACAGTGAGACCCAAGCAGCACCAAGACTGGCGCTTGGGTCCTCTGATTCCAAGCCCAGAACCCATCCTGCTATATTGCCTCATGCAGCTCTGAAAAGGATTTTTTTTTTTTTTCCTGAGATGGAGTCCGCTCTGTCACCAGTCTGAAGTGCAGTGGCGTAATCTCAGCTCACTGCAACCTCCACCTCCCGGGTTCAAGTGAGCCTGCCTCAGCCTCCCAAGTAGCAGGGATTATAGGCTCGGGCCACCATAGCTGGCTAATTTTTTGTATTTTTAGTAGAGACAGGGTTTTGCCATGTTGGGCAGGCTGGTCTCGAACTCCTGGCCTCTGGTGATCCACGTGCCTCAGCCTCCCAAAGTGCTGGGGTTACAGGTGTGAGTGGAAAGGATTTTTCTGCACTCCCTTTTGAGAGCCTCTGGCTGATTGGGGAGAAGAGAATAAATCATGTGGCTGGTGAATGTAGGGCAGGTTTGGTAGGCACGAGTGATACCTGTCCTGGCCACCAGCCCTCTGAAACCTCCCCAGTGGCTTGATCTTTAGTTCCCGGTGGAGGAGGCATCTCCCTAAGGCCAGGGCTGTGGTGAATGTTGCGGGGAGGTTGAGCAGTTGAGCGGGAAACAGGAGGCCGGGGTCAAAGCTGTGCTGCCTCCTAGCTTGACTTAGGTAGAACCATGGGTGTTTTGGGCTTGTCCCTGTGTAAGAGGTGGGAGTTGCCTGCTTTGCTGGGAGCTGGGGCTGTGCCAAGATAACGGGGTGCTGCTCTGTGGGGAGTGGAGGGAAACGGGAGTCTGATTTAGGCCTGGGCTAATGCCCTGCTGGAGTGGGCCAGGCAGTGCTGCCAGGCTGCTCTTGACGGGGAACTGGCTGTCCTCTGCTCTGGAGCCCAAGAGACCTGAGCTAGGCAGCTGCCGGGAGGGCCTTTCTGGTGATGGAGGTGGGGGGCATGCGTGCTGCCTGTCTGCCAGAGCCTCGGCCCTCTAGGGAGGAGCTGGTGTCAGATTGTCCTGGTTATGGTGTCGCTGCCAGCTGGACATCTGACACCAGAATGGGCGTGGCTTTGGGGTCTGGGAAATGGGTTCTCTTTATGTGATGGTGCAGCCGGAGTACCGAGCCTACCGCCACTGTTCTTCTGCATCCCGTGAGGGCAGGCAGGGACCCCGGGCCTGGGGATGATTGTTTGTGAAGGCTCATGGGACTTGAGACAGAGAAGAAAAGAGAATGCACCCCATCCTGCTGACTGCTACCGAGAGGGCGTGAGGTTGCAGGTTTCCACCCCCCTGAGGACATGAGGGCTACAGCATGAGGCTCTTACAGTCAGAAGGGACGCAGTCTAGATGGGAGGAAGGGCTTTCTGCCTGCTAAAGACAGATCTTGAGTTGAGGGGTAAGAGGGAAAGGCGGAGGCTCAGCATTGACTCTTCTCTGATGAGGGCCGTCCTGTCGGGCAGGGAGGGCAGGCAGGAATCATGGCCCTTTGGGGAGACTCCTTATCTTGAATATTTTGGGGGAAGAGCGACCTGGTAGTGAGAGGGAGAAGCATCTGCGAGCTGGCCCCGTGACTCCTGTGAAGAGAAAAAGCAGTGTGGCTGGGCAGGCCACCAGGGCTTGTGTTCCGCAAGTGACACTGAGAGGCCTCTCCCGGGACGTGGTTGAGTCTGGGGACATGGAGGATCTCCTTGTGCGGCGACTTCCTGTGCCAGATCTGAAGGGAAGGCTGGCGGACCACTCCCCAGTGCTCAGCCTCCTGGTGTCTTGGCCTTTGGGTCCCTCAGGGTAGGAAGCTCAGTTTTCTTTCCTCCTCTCTTCTCCGTTCCCTCATCCCTGGCTAATTTTTTGTATTTTAGTAGAGATGGGATTTCACCGTGTTGGCCAGGATGGTCTCGAACTCCTGACCTCGTGATTCGCCCACCTCAGCCTCCTAAAGTGCTGGGATTACAGGTGTGAGCCACCATGCCCAGACTTTTTTTTTTTTTTTTTTTTTGAGATGGAGTGTCATTCTATTGTCAGGCTGGAGTGCAC